AAATGAAATCGTTATTGCTACTCCTTCTTTCTGGTAATCTGTACTAACTTAGAGTCTAAACCGAAGCATTACCTTCACTTTGATTCTTAGATTCATTATCAGTCACAAAGTTATAATTTTTTATCAAGAATCTCGAAATGTGTTTTTGCTTGCCTGTTCCTGTTTCCAGCAATTCCTTCCGGCCTTTTCACTGCTCCGTTGACGTCCACGAACATTGGTCTAAACCAGAGTGAGCTTGATTTAAAAAAAAAAAGTTCTTATAAGTTTTTCCCTATAAATTCCCAATCGATTCCTCTCGCTGCGTGTGGTTCATTTTATCTTGAAAACGAGGTTGCTATCAGATAAGATTTAAGGGCTACGGCTGTTAACTGGTGATTCATCAAACAGTAATATCAGGGTCATCTTATCTAACTTTAGCAACAGAAAAAGAGAAACCGAAGATGACGTTAAATGAGACCGAGGTGGGTATCCTCACAGTCCTGTACGCCATCGCGATGCTCGTGGCATTTGCAGGGAATGGTTTCCTCATCTACATCGTGTGGAAGAAACCTGAAGTAAGATCGCTGACAAGCTTCATGTTCGTCAACATGGCCATCGCTGATTTGCTGGTGACGTTGGTTGTGATGCCCTGGTCGATTACCCAGCTCTGTGCAGACGGTTTATGGATGATACCAGGAATATTTGGAAAAATCACGTGCAAATTTATCGTATACACTGGCTTTGTCACTATAACAGCGTCCATCCTCTGCCTGACATTCATGTCAGTCGATAGGTACTATGCCATTGTTCATCCCTTCCGCCGCCATCTTTGGTTCCGAAAGCCTAAACTGACAGTACCATTTATTTGGATCTTGTCACTGGCCTCTATGTCCATTTTCCCTGTTGTTCAAACTGTGGAAGACCACAATTCCGAATGTATGCTGTCTGTTTACGTTTTGGGTGATCCATACAGGGCCCTGCGAGGGATATACCTCTTCCTGGTAGTGGTCAACTATCTGATCCCTTTGAGTGTTATTTCTGTCATTTATACTATTACCGCACGGAGGTTGTGGTTCCATGTTGCACCTGGAGTGGAACATTTGGCAGGAATCCGAGAGCAACTTGAAACCTCGAAGAGGAGAGTGGTTAAGATGCTCATCATTGTTACCTGTGCCTTTGCTCTTTGCTGGCTCCCAGCACAGGTGGTCCACATGAAATATGTCATGCAAAAATGGAATATTCATATAACTCCTCAGCCGATTGTCGAGTTTGTGTGTTTTTGGTTTGGTCACGCCAACAGCGCCATCAATCCATGGCTGTACATTTTCCTGAGCACTAAGATCAATACGGCATTTACAAGAATCTTCAGGAGAAAAAGCAGCCGGTCGCCTCTGAGTCTCTGTGTCAAACCTTCAAATACCGTTTTGCCTGAAGACCAAGCTGCCCACGAAGAATCAACATTGTAATCTCTGTCATAACATCAACCTTTTATCACCAGTCTTGGTAATTATATCTAAAGCCAAACCTGCTTAAAACTTATTGAAAAACATGAACCATTTATCACTAGTCTTGGTAATTATATCTAAGAAATCCAAAATTGATTAAAACTTAATAAATAATATGACCCCATACATACGGTGTGATAAAGGTAATGAGCTAAGTAATTAATGTGAAATTGATAATCTGAACTGATTTAGACAACTGCTCTATCAGCTGCTAAGAATAAGAGAAGGGATCAGATTTTGTTTTGTTTTTTTTGTTGTTGTTCTCAATTTTGACAGCAAGTTATCTCTGGAGGTAGTTAGAGTTTATAATTCAAAGCTATTATGCAAACTTTAATTTTTATCAATAATGTAAAATTAGTTGTCGTCAAACAAGGTATTTGAGAATTATTTACCTTGGTGAAGGTACATATCATAGTAGTGAAAATTTCAGAATTGGCCGGTAAGTGCACTCCCGAGAGCACAATTGCCTTGTGCAGTATATACTAAGTTGGTTTGTTTTATTGATAATTTCGCATTGATCATAAAGAATCGTTCCCCACAGTTTTACTAATTATACATAAAAAAATAATAGATTTAGTGCCTGTGATCCAAGTGAGAGCGGTTACTGGTGACAGAGAATAATTTCGCATTAAACTTTTTAATTTCATTGTAACTCTATTCCATGCGGTTATGAAAATAATCATCTCACTCGTCAAAGTAAAGACAGGTTGATAATTGACCCTTTAACTTAATCAAAACTTGCATATTTTACAAGTTATTTCATTGGAAAATTTTTAAAACGAACTTTGTAGTAGCTTTAATTCGTGACAGACAAGTGAAATAAAAGCAAACCCATTAGACTAAGAAATCGCATCTTCTTTCTACTTGGAGTCGAGCGCCCTAACCATCTTGTCACCCGTTCTCCTAAGGGGGCATTCTGGTCAAAAAATTCAAAAATTCCCAAAAGAAATGTAAAATTTTTTTTTATGGCCCTAAAGGTCACTTAAGTTTATCGATGTTTAGGATGTAATACTCTTGCCCAACAAAGAACGCTTTTATCAAAAAAAATCCACATAAAGAAAGGTCTCTATTGTTTTGCGTTTCCGTTACCATGGCAACGAAAGCGAAACCAATCAGAATTTCAGCTAAATTTACAATGGAAAAATAAAAAAATCTTCTGAATTGAGTCTGTGGGATCCAGAAGTCCTAGATCCACGTCCATGGGTCTAAATTTTCCGATTAGAGCCTGGCTACTCAGCTCAAGGAGCCAACTCGTGTTGCTCCATAAAATCGCTTTGCGTCGCCATTGTTTATATTTCGTATACACCCAAAATATCATTGTTATAATGCCTAAATATGGTTCAAAACAGTCGACTACTCAGAAGAATAAGTCAAGGAAGAAAAAAGGCTTCAGGGGAGTTCAAAAACAAACTGTTTTGAAAGCAAAAACGCGTGATCAGACTGCAACTGTTGCTGTCACATTTGTTGGCGAAGAAGATGTTGTACGTGAAAGAATTCCTCCGCCCAAAACTCCAGCTTCTTCGCGGAAACTAGGTGCCCTAGAACAAGAATCATCTGATTCCGAGAGTTATGAATTTGAAGAAGTAGTAAAAGGCTATCGACTTGTTTCTATGGACAGTTTGTTGAAGTTTGTTCGTAGGATTCACTCGCGTGGACCATGTTCTTCAGGTGTGTTATATAATATTTTCTAATTTTCTTTATTTGCGAGCACGTAATGTTTGTCTGTGGCTATACTATAGTGTCTTACATATAATTATTTTATTTTAGGCCATGTTAAGCTCATTGAGAGAAGCGTTGAGATTTGGTATCAGCAGCTCTTTGTTTGCTAAGTGCAATGAGTGTGGCATGGAGGAATTTATGGCTACAGGAGAGCATGCTGGTGATCAAGAGACCCCAAGAACCATCCAGGGTAAAGATATCAATAGAGGAGTAGTTTATGCTCCTTTTGAGATGGGAATTGGTAGAGAAGGGGTGGCTAAGCTATGTGAAATCCTAAACATGCCATTCAGCATTTCCATAGACACATGGTATAACCATGAGGAAATTCTTCATGCTGCACACGACAAAGTCACCAAGGAGCAGCTTAAAGCCAATGCGAATGAAGCAAAACAAGTTGCAATAGATGAAAGAACCTTAAGAAATGATAACAGCTCTCTTGTTGATATCCCTGTCACCTTTGATTGCACTTGGTCGAAGAGGGGTTTTACTGCTAATCATTGTGTTGGCTTTGTGATATCAGCAGCAACAGGAAAGGTTATAGATTTGGAAGTCATTTCCAAAACATGCAATCAATGCTCTCAAATGCAAGCTAGATTGGATGAAGAGACATTTGATGAGTGGTTTGCAGAGCATCAGCGTGATGGCTCCTATAAAGGCTCAAGTCCCAGTATGAAAATGGAATGCGCAAAGAGATTGTATGGGCGCAGCATGGATTAAATTTCCGCTATAAGTTTATGATCACTGATGGTGACTCTAAGTCCTATAGTGCTGTGTGGAATATTTATGGTGCCTGTGAAACCTGCAATGAGTATGAAGTACTTGAACATACTGACAAGAAGTATATCTCTTGGAAAGAGTCGCTTGCTTATATCAAGTGGGAGGATGAGCACCTGCAAGGAACAGCTCACTGCAATCGCATCTTCAAGCTGGACTGCGTAGGCCATGTCCAGAAAAGACTGGGCAAGGCCTTATACGAATATCAAAGGACTTCTGTAAAGATGGCAGATGGAAAGTCTATCAAGGGGAGTAATGGTAGACTGACTAAGGTTGCCATTGAAAAACTTAAAACTAATTATGGCAAAGCCATACACAGCAATGTTAAAACAGGAGCTCTCACAGCAGCACAGAAAGACCAAGCTGTCAAAGATATGCAGACAGCCATCACAGCTGGACTATATCATTCTCTTAAGATAGAAGATAAGGAGAGGCATCAGTTTTGTCCAAACAATTCTTGGTGCAAATTCAAGAAAGGATTAGCCTGCAAAGACAAGCCTCATCATCTGGATGCTGTCTTTGAAGAGCCATTGCTAAAGAATTATGACAGATTAAGTGAGCCAGCATTGTTGCAAAGGTGTTTGCCTGGCTACACAAACAATGCCAATGAATCCATCAATTTTCTTGTTTGGAATAAGTGTCCAAAGCACAAGTGGCATGGATCAAAGAGAATAGGAATGGCGGCAAATGCTGCTGCCCTTCATTTTAGTTGCGGCGCAACTAAGAAACATGATGTTATGAGGGAAGCAGGGCTTGTTGTGGGACAGCATACAACCAGAGCTAGTGAAAGAAGAGACTCAGGAAGAGTAAAAACAGGCTGTGGCAAGAGTGCAAGAAAAGCACAAGAAATATAGGCTTGCAAGAAGACAAGCAAAAGCAAAAGAAGAAGAACTCCGAGTCAGGAGAGAAGGAACGACGTATGAAGCAGGCGGTTTTAATGACATCGCTCCTCTCAGAGAGCCTCAAAAGAAAAAAAGGAAGAAGTAGAGACAGTTAGAATAGATGTGAGTAGTGTATCAATGTAAATTTGTGTGTTTATGTAAGTCAAGGGGCTCCAAGTAGCATCTAACTATATTGTTCATTTTTAACTTGCGTTTCTCAAATTTTGTAAATTTTGTTGTTTTTGTACTTGCCCTTTAAATATCTTAAGAGCATTTCAACATATTATCACCATATTTTGCACAATTATAATAGATATTATGGTTAACAAATTTATTGAGCCTTTTTTGAAAATTCCACATAAAACAGAAATTACATATGATAAATAAATATGATAAATATTCTCTGGCGACAAATGGTTGCCATGGTAACTACAGTTGGCAAAACCCCAAAAGGCTCAATTACTTTGTAGAGTCTGTTGTGTAAGTGCTTTGTACCAAGTTACAGCTCTATAGCTCTTTTAGAACACAAGAATTTCAAGGGGAAGCTAGAACAAGTAAAACATTGTCTCCGGAATTCATTAGTTAATAATGAACTTCGTTAAAG